AGACCTGTGCAATGATAAACAGCTATGAGCATGAAGCCCAGATGGTTCTCCAACATAACTTATCTGGAGGCACTGAGAAAAGCCTCCTGCTTAATATAGTTTGTCATCTCAAACATGTTAAACACACTGATCATGTTAAGTAAAATGGTAATGTTCCAGACTTGTACTCAGGCAGTACCTAGTTTGAATCTCATCTGGGGCACTGGCTATCACTGATACTGTTTGTGTTAACAGTCCCTCTAGACCTGGGGTTCTCAACTTCTTCCAGACCTTCACCATTGCTTACAATTGCTCACAGCACAGATGTACTGCCACATACTGATTGCATTAACAAAATGTGTTTTCTTATACCAGGTCATAGATGTTAATCATACAGGATGACAAAGTATTGCAGAAAAATACACTCAGGCTAAGGATTGAGAAAACCTGCTCTAGACAAAAACAATAAACTGGAATAGCTTGGTCAGTAAAGTAACTGGCTATATAGTCAATGTTCAAGTCACAGCAACAATGTGCCCGGACTGACTTCATTGTCCACTAACTCCTATCTGTAAGTGCCAAGATTAAAGCAGCTGGAGCATGAAGCTGACCACCCACCTACATTTATTGCCAAAGGTCTAGAATGTGTGGCATGTCACCTTGAAGCTTAACCATAGGGACATCTATAAATACCAGGATTGTCTCTTGAAATAAGTCATGACCAGTCGTAACTGACCACTTCTACCAAAATTCTTTCCTGTTTGTCACACAATTATTTTCTCCTCTCCACTGGCACTAATTAAGCTACCATTTATAATACAAAAATTAGATGTATGCCATTATTCCAAGTTGCTACAAACTTTTTGCTGTTTCCAGTCATTAAGCAATAATATCAAGATGTGAGAATGGTTAGATAACTAGTTCTTATTTATTTGTACATTGGTTTTGTTTGACAAGGAAGTTTTATAAATATTTCTATATCATGTTTACAGCTGTTTATCAGCACATATTCTATCGAAACATTCCATCTGACGACATGTGAGAATTGTTAAACGTTGACAAACATTTACCTAACAGTCGCCTATTTCTGACAAAATGAAATAAACCCTTTGGGAAGTTCTACACTAGGCACAGGCGATTCTGACCGGCGAACTTACTTCGTGAATGGCTGTGTAAGAGTGAGTTACCTGTCGGAGGAACAGTGGTCTGTGTAGTCACGTCAAATGAAAATGAATCACAGCCATGGTGGTAGTAACGCTGCACAAGGAAACTTTCTATTCATAGTCTACATATACATTGAACAGCATCTTAGAGCTGGCAGACTGGCCTTGCTACTCTAATTACGCGTCTCCAAAAAGTACTTCCATTCACAGTGAAACTTAACATTATTTCTATTATACTCACGACAATTGTTACTGCTGTAATCACCATCATCTTGAATCATTGTTCGTTTTCAATGGCCGATAATACACTCGATTCTTTCTGAAGGCAGTAAAATACGATAAGCGCATAGTATGTCTTGTCTCACGTAAAACCGAAGTCCCAACAATTTTTGTCAGACTTAAGCGACTTCTTTTAAATCTATACTGACTTTTAGTTTTACGAGCAATTTGCCGAAATTTGGGTCAGTGCCCTCCCAGAACGTAGAAATTTTATAGTGAATCATCAGCTTTGGTCACTCTGGAACAATACACATTTCGCCAGGGTTCCAAATTAAGTAGATTGTGTCTTTGTATATTTCATAATCCTTTTAGGGGACCTTTTAAATACCTGCGTTGATTCTTAGGCTATCTTTTTGGTTCGCTATAAATTTGCTGCAGAACTTTGACGAGTGCACTTCAATTTTTCTTTCTGTTTCTCTCTTTAGAAATTCGTTGATGTTGTTTTCCGGCCCTGACCCTTTAGTGAACGTATTTTGACGGAAATGGCGGCATATTAAATGACAACGAATCAATTAGTCAATCAAAATTTTGTATTGTACCACACCCTCAACAAGCACAGACTGTACTCATATTGCCAAACGAAGGGGCAGCGGGACAGACTGGCAGAGAAGCGATAAGGTGTTATCGCTCGCGAGGAGAGCCCTTCATTTTGCGTATAAAGGATTTCACCGGCCAAGAACCGCTCATCTTGCTGTACAAACAAAAGTGTGAGTTCAGTTTACTTAAAAAACATCTTTGAATCACACTTCTTGATTCATTTTCCCATTCAATCAGCACATATTAAATTTATTTTACAAACAGGGTTTTGCATGTAATAGAGATTGGTGTAAAAGCCTGGGCAAATACGCTAACAATCGAATACAGCCTTCTTGTGCAACGTGTTTGCATGTCAACACAGGATAACTGAAAACTTACATTAAGGATGCTTTTGCCAATACCAATAGTGACCATGTACTTGACACAAAGTTTTCTTAATGTGCGAGGCGCCCATTTTGAATGGCAGAATTCATGGACCTTTTATTGTCATAATGCTCATATTTTGTAGTGGCAGATTTTGTTCTGATGTAGAGACTATCTAGCAAAGAGTTGAACCTTACACCCTTCTTCAAATTGCTAGAGGACTCAGAAAATGGTGAGAGTACATCCTTACTAAGAAAATAAATTTTAATCTTGGAAGTAGGTAACAGAGTAATGTGTAGAACACATGCTGATACATATGCTACTTATATGTCAGACTAAACATATGCAAAACTGTGTTCATGAAATTTAAATCACACATATCTGTATGTTCCATCTACAATACTATTTAAGAGATTTCTAAGTTTTATATTGGGGTCTATAAAACAAGTTGACAGCCAAAATAAATTCTAGCTATTATTCATCTACCATAATTTTACTACATGTAATTGATCTTTATCAGATTGTTCAACAGTAGCCCACCATACAAGAAACTTTGTGGCACAAATCTGATACTGTGTATAATCAACAAAATTAAATTAAAAAGAATCTTTGCCTCCAGCAATGTAACAGTATTGGTACTTAGCTTTGTAAACAGTATATCTGAATCTTCAATAAACAATCAAGTCCAATTAAGCAAGCAAAATTGCAAAGGACATATCTAGAAAAAACATGCATTCCAAATCAGAATTTATACTTCCACTCTTTTTATTCCTGAAATACTTGTACAGACTTCAGTTGTGTGCAATATCTGAAGCGTTATAAAGCTCCTTCTTTACATATATCAAAATATTTCCACTGTTAATTAAATGTTGCCAAATGCTAAACTTCTTGACATGTGCATTCATTAAGGTCTTACCTTAACCTTCCACTGAGTAAACAAAGGGCGGAGATAATAAAAAAAGTGACAGGGTAATCTGAGAGAAAACAGTGTTGGTACAACAAGTCATTTTATTGCTGTCCTTGGATACTATTATGAAACTAATAAAAAGGAACACATATAAGATGACATTTTTGAAAGAAATTTCAGTCACCGAGTTTCAAGTGAGCAAGCACTAAGGCGAGTAACTGTTCTCTTTTAACATTTAATTTTAACCATACTATTGTGATTAATTAGTACATAAGGGTGTGAAACTTTGTTTCTCACTCTGAGAAGCGATTGAGGGTGCATGAAAACAAAGAAATATAATTATGGACATACAAAATATCAGACATAGTAGGTGGGAGGAGAAAATTACATAATAAAATTTGTTCACAGGTTTTTGAACATGCAGATATTATTATACAGCACTGAATGAAATGGAAATATGTTAATGAACGGTTAACAGGTAAGGCTTTGGAGGGAGCCAGTCATGGGCTATTTGCAGGTACTAGACCAGTATTGCCTGAAGAGACTGAAGAAAATCACACAAACCCTCAATTATGATAGGCAGTAACCCTCTCAGATTCGAAACAATTACCTCCTGAATACAAGCGTAGAAAGTTATCTATACACCAGTATGCTTGGTATCACATAATAAGCACTTTCTCAAATACTAGTCAACTAATATTGTTAAAATCATCAGATAAAAGGACTAGTTGCCAACTTAACACAGAAAGAGAACCAAGAAATTCATTCAAAGTTTAGGTTTGAAACCCTTAAAGGAAATACCAACATGAGAGGAAAACATTAAAATGAATCTAAGAGAAATATAAGATGTGAGCTGGCTCAGAAAGGAGTCCAGTAGTCTTTTGTGATGAATGTAATGAACCTTCAGCTTCTGTATCAGCAGGGAATTATCAACTGCTTGGAATATCCTGTACCATGTATAAATACAATCCAGAAACAAAAAGTTATTAGATGTGCGGTTTTCAGCTGAGATACACTGAGGATGAGTGTGTTGCGTGTGGGTGTGCTGGGAGCAGGAGTTGTGGGAGTTACAACTGCTACTGAGCTGCAGGTAGAGTTCCCAACAGCTAGCATCACCATAATTGCAGACAAGTTCAACAAAGATACAACAAGTGAAGTTGCTGCTGGAATTTTCCGACCAAGCCCAAGCTTTGAAGGACCAACTCCAGAAATTACAAGGTTATATTAAAATACATATTTCATTGCTTGAATTACAGTGACTGATGAAATGCTTGTTACTAAAATGTGTTACTCTTCCACCTACATTCCAGAATAAAATATATATATATATATACACAGTGTGTGTGCGTGCATGAAATTGCATGAGTTATTTGTACAGTTATTAAACCTGTTCTCTTATTACGTTGCATAAACATAAATTACAAGTATCCAAAAACAATGTGCTACCAAATTAAATGTGAAATCAAGGTTCTTACAAAAGAAATATCATGATATATACTAACCTGATACTTTTAGGCTAGTTAAATCAAGATTATGACAAGCCACACAAATAGTTTAAATGGAGAAAATATTGAAATGCATACAGAATACTGGTGGGTAAACCTATTTGAAAGCAGCCACTTGGAATACTCAGGATATGTGATGATAACATTAAGATGGATCTTCGCAAGACATATTTTAAGGACAGGACAGAACTGGCTCTCGGTTGTGTCCAGTGTCTAGTTCTTGATTTAGAGATGATAATGAATTGGGTTCTACAAATAGTCAGGTAAGTACCAATACGAAACTTCACCAATGTTGCTGTTAATAACCCATTTGTGATTACATGTATTCATGTCTTTTGCGTTTTTATGTTTCTGATATGCTGGATTCAGTATTTGACTGTTGTATTTCTGAAGGGAGTAGTTCTCACTTGGAATAGAAGGATTCATAGAAAGCATTCTGTAGGGTCATGTACTTTAGAAAGAAGAAATGATGTATAAAAACAATTGAATTTTTGCAAAAAAAAATGAGTGTGTGAACTGGGATAGCTTAGTCTCTAAAGTCAATGGCTATGAGTTTGATGACCAGGGTATGATTTCCAGCAGATATTTTTCTGTCAGAATTCTATACTGGCCCTAGGTCACATACAGCATATTAAGTGGGTATCAGGGCCACAGCACTTACAGATGTGTACATAGTGATATTTAGAAAACATGGAGTTTGCCTACAGTTCCTCTTACATGCCTTCATATTTCCTTTACATATTAACAAACAGAGCACTGTCCTTTTGTGAATAGTTCTTTACCACAGAACTTAATTATTGGACTAAAATATTAGTGTGTATCGGGTACTGCAGTTAAACAAACATATTTGTTTTTGTTTTTTTTTTCGAACTCCAATACATTGCTAAAATAGGAAAATGGAATAATCTCAAATATTTAGAGAAAGGAGTGTTCATGGTGGAGATTTATAGTAATTTATAAATATGTAATGAGGGGACAAGAACCGGTGTTAAGGGACAATGTCTCAGAGCAAAAATCAGTACATAAATTGTGTAATGATGTGTGTTTTTAATTATATTTGCAGCCAGTGGATCAGGGATTCATACAACTATTACGATGAATTGAGAAGATCTGAACAGGCACCCAGGGCTGGGGTTAGCCAGGTGTCTGGTTATATTTTCTCCAGTGTTGACCCATCACTTGTCCAAGTATGTTAATGTTGTTCTATGACTAACACAATCTAATACCAAGAATTGTTTCAAACGTAGAATCCATTAACACCAAACCAACATCTGATGGGAAAATGAACTAAGTCCATAGTATATGTGTCTTCCTTGAGAAGCAGGCTATAATTCAGAAAATCAAAAGACTCCCTGTTCCCATAAAACCCAAATATTGGTATTGGATCCTGAGCCAGTGTAATCCAGTTTATACTTTCACAGAATTATATAAGTTTGAACAACTCCCTAGATCTTGTCTGTCTGATGCTAAGAGAAAACTACTGTTCATATGGCAACAACATTTGAAGAATGCACAGTGGGATAAAGCAGGTTGCTCTGCTACATTACTGAGTACATGGAAAATATGCAATCACACTTTGAACAGGCCTTGCTATTCTAAATGTGAGTTGGTAACATGAAGAAATGGAATACATAAGTTTTCTACACAATTTACTACAGAGATATTAAGACAGAAGAGGAGACAGTAAAAGAGGACAGTCACATTTAGCAAGGTAGGCAATATTATTAAAAAAAATGGCAGGAATATGTTATTATCAAAGCAAAATTCAGAACTCCTGTCCAAAGGAAACTAAGATAATCTTTCACTACCATCTTATCAAAGAACAAGACTGGAAGAGTGCATTCCTTTGTGTACACTGAAATACCAAAGGTGTTCATGCCACAAGACAGGGAGGTGACAGGATATCAGCAGGTTCCTTCATTGATAACTATGGTTCAAAGGTAATGTGGACATAGATCATTCTTACTTGAAAGGAATAACAAAGGCAACAGAGGTGTCCAGGGTCATTATTATCAGAGGACACTGTGAGCCAACAATGACCTCAGTCCTCACTGTTATATAACAATTTACGCTAACAATTACCTGTTCCCATAATTGCAACAATGTGTTTAAAATATGGTCCCAGTTCACATTGTTGTAACACTGTGTTCCAACAATGACATAGGTCATCCAGGTTAAGTAATTCCTAGGAAAACCACAACCAAAACAAGAAAGACAGACATGGATGAGCCCACAGATGTTCTTCAGTCATGCTAGAGCATGAAAAACACCCAAAATAACTGCAATGTAGCTCACTGTGAGAAACAGATAATTTTAAATTGCATAGGAAAAACCCATAAGATACCTTCTATTCTTAAAGCTGAATGTACCATAACAGAATATCCTGCTGGCTCATTCAGTTCACTGGACAGGAGATTAACAGTATTCCATTAGAAGACAGCCATCTACAGACTCACTGCAGTGAAAACCTCAAATCCTACTTAGTACTCAGTTAAATGTTTCATTTAGAGTCTTTTCCTTTTTCCTGTTCCAGAATCACCTTTTGGAGAAAACTGTTCCCCTGTATCGAAGAACAACAGAAGAAGAGCTCAAACTTTGCCCAGGAAATTGGAAATATGGGTCATATTTTACAACACTTTTGACAGAATGCACAAAGTTCTTGCCTTGGTCACTGGAAAGGTAATCACATGTTAAAGACCTTGATTGAATTTTCTTTCTGGTAACAGAACCTGAGCCAACACTGTTAATACCAAAACTCTGACATTATCCTAAACAGATTCAGTCTAGTTCTCATTCTACCAACTCCCTCTCAGTTGTCAATATGTCTGCTTTCTACAAGGTTTCCCCACTAAAACTGTGTATGTACTGCTATTTTCTCCATGCAAGCTACCTCTCCAGTCTAATATTTTCTTTATTTCACTACACAACTACATGTGACCCACATAAATTATGCAAATTCCTCTTTATGTAGTATCCTAATTTCTCTTAGATTATATCATCTCCCAGAGTTCTTTATTTTCCAATCACTGTATTTTGTGTTGTCTCACAAAGTAATAAAATTCACATCCATAAACACAAAATTTCTGTTCAAAATAATAGTAGTTTCAAAAATATGGACAACCTTGACAAGACAGTAAAGTGACAATCTTAGGGACTATAATTCATTCATTTTCTTATGAAACTTAACCTTCAATGAGAAATACAATAGCCAATCACAACACAGGGTTAGGGTAGCCTTCAACCAAAATTTTCAGTTTTCACTTGGCAGTGGTATGAGAAGTTTCTGTCCTGAGCAGTTCAGTGCTTTGTTGTCATTTCTTACCATTTACCCGATAGAGGTCTTAATTGAGAAACCTTGCTTGGCTGTCAGGTATATTGTGAACTTGGCTCTGTACCACATGACCCCAACTGGAACTGAGAATCAGAAATAAAGCCAGTCCACAGCATACTTCCTACCATGTTGCACAGAATTCTTGTGACTAGTTTTCACCCTTGCCTCATAAGGAAAGGAAAATACAATAGCTGGCCAGTATCTGACATTCTGTAGGGGAATTGGAATTGGCCTCTTGACTACTACATCCAGAACAGATGTCTCCTCTGCCCCAGCCTCCTAACCAGTAGTACCAACCAGAAAGCCTTTAAACTGGAGTACACATTTTCATTATTCTACGATCCAAGTTACATATATATCAATTGAAAATGTTGCAGTATGTCTGATATGTTTTGTGTTCCAGATTTGAGCGGGCAGGTGGCAAAATAGCAAAGAAAACTGTGACCAAATTTCAAGACCTGGAACACGACTTTGACATAGTAATAAACTGTACTGGGCTTGGAGCAAAATACCTCTGCTCTGACAACAAACTAGTTCCAATACGAGGACAAATTATTAAGGTCTGTTGGTAAACTTTACTTGTAAACTGAAATATGAAAGTAGTATGTTTGTCGGTCTGTTAATGGACATTAAGAAAGTTTGGCACAGGCAATATATGCTACAAGTTGTCAGGCAAATCTAACTGCTATTTCACATGAACTTCAGATTTAATTATATATTACATTTCACAAAAACAACTCACTGTATAAAAAGAGAGTACATGATATAAAATACAATTTCATTAAGGTCTGTAACTTTTACATAAACATTACTGAGTATTATGAATGTTTAACAGAATGAAAGGATAACATAATTTATACCTCTATGGAGCATATGCCTGGTAGCAGAACCCAAAGGCCCATCACTGCTGATACTGTACCAACGCCTGCCACTGGACATGATCCCAAGCCAATTCTGACTCCTATCCTCACAGCCTATTTCACTACCATCCATCTTTATGCTATCTTCAAATCTTCTACTACATAAATAAATATTCCTACCTCAGTGGATAAAGAATACATTTTCTGGACTCATTTTTGCAAACTATATGTGTATTAAATTAATTCTAAGCTTGAAGAATCAAAGGAAAAATTCTCCTGTGCCTAAGCACAATACAATGAAGACAGAAGGATATGCTCCATTCAGTTTTAACAATGGCTTTATAAGGAGGTGAACTGCATATTCTGACTACCTTTCCACCTGGTAAGGAGGTAAGATCACTCTAACTCTGAGCTATTTCACATATGTTAGCAAAGTCCAGTTTATATCTGTAAACATGAGGAAATGGATTGTTTAAAAACAGGAAAGCAGTAATAAAAAGTAATGCTATCCCACTACATACCATGTAGCTGCTCAGGGGGAGAGAAGTATAGCTCCTACTCATTTTCAACCTCAGCAATATATGGGGTGAATGGTCAGTGTTGCCCCGGCCTTGGGGAAAGGACCCCCAGTACCGACTGGACAAGAGGCTGAGTTGGTCTGGATATGTTACATTTCAGACAGTGAATCAGAAGTTATAGAGGCTCAAATGAGACAGGAAAATGGTCATCAGTGGTGAATATAGAAGTATCTGCAAAAGGAACTAATTCCACCATTCAGATAGAGAGACCATGAGGAATGTGTCACGACAGTCAATAACCTGGCTGAGAATCAAACCAGGTACCTCTTAAATGCAAGTCTAGAGCATCACCATTATACTAACCTATGAGAGATGCACATTTTATTTTAAAAGTCTTTTAATACATCTTGCAATGTGAACGCTTTAGTTATCAAACTTTCAGCAACAAACATGTAATTTTTGATTACCTAAATCTGTTCTGATTGCAATTTAGCAAATATAATTTCTATTTGTATGTCATCCAGGTACATGCTCCATGGATAAAGACATTTTTCTATGCTGAACATGACACATATATAATTCCACGCTCTGATGGAGTAACACTGGGTGGATGTCGTCATTATGAGAGCTATGACATCAGTCTGAGTCGTCATGATAGTGCTGCAATAAAGGAAAGATGCTTCAAGCTGATCCCCAGCTTGCAGAAGGCTCAAGTTTTAAAAGAGTGTGTTGGGCTTCGCCCTCATCGCAATGTGGTGAGGGTAGAAGCAGAGGTGCTTGGGAAGTTGAAGGTAAGTCACTGGAAAGGCCTCTATACATTGTGCACTAGTGGTATCATTAGCACAAAAAACTGATTTCTGCATCTTGCCAGGGATACGGATACAGGCCCAGAACCCTTTATAAGAAAACTGTTTATTCATAAACTATGAATTGAATAAGAGTATACATGCATGTAGATAAATACAGACAAGTAACAAAGGACGAATCACCGTGCAGTGCCAGGGATCTGTGTGGGTTCACTGCCCCAGTTTGTAATACAGAAAGAAAACCCCAATTTCATCTGAAGTAAATGGAAGTGACATGAAGCATGCAAAACCAGGCAGAGACTAACTCATACTGGTCCCTGTATGACCTAAGAAAACAACAGAAGACCAGGGCACACTCTGAAGGGAAAATAATGAAGGTTGGGAACAGGTTGACTCAAATGAAAGTAGGAAAGGTACAGTATGACAGGGAAGGAAATGTCACACCAGACATGAAGTATGCATTTCAAATTTACTTAAATCCTATTCAGGTGATTGTCTGAGGAACTCTCCAGTGGAATTTGAACTTCTTTCTCAGTAGGTTAAATTATGAGTATACAATATGAGTAGTGTGAATGCATATGTATACTGCAGGTCAGAACTTTTAACAGAGAGCAATGCCTTCTGCCTCAAGTTTAGGCAATCTCAAATATGAAAAACTTTTGATTTATGTTGGCAGGTTGTGCATAACTATGGACATGGGGGTTATGGTGTAACATCAGCACCAGGTACTGCAAAGCATGTCATCAAGCATGTGCGGGAATTCCACCTGTCTGCTGACAAACATAGCAAGTTGTAACGCCTTTCCTGTCATACCCTTACTTTAGTGCAACACGCAAATACAGTGCAGTTCTTTCTCAATGATGGTAAAACATAACTGAGCCATGAGGTGATAAAGCATACATACTAAGACTCCCAACCACTTTAAATATTTACCTGATTAAGAATTTACTTTGATCAATTAATAACAGTGTGATTTTCAACATGCAAACTGTCAATAATGTATTAGTAAATACCTTATTTACCTGAATATAATATGATCTCCCATTTAAAAACTTAAAATTACAGTAAACTATATTCAAGGAATTATGAAAATAATTATGTACTTAAAAACTGAAAAAACTTGGAAAGTTATTTAGGTCTATAACTGTAATCTGATTAGGAAAGTCATTCAATATTCACAGATCATGACATAACTGTCTTAGCACATCAGTTTACATTTAGTTAACAGCAGAATGTTTACAGAACACTTCCATTATATTCCACATTTTACTGTCACTGATCTTTGCTTCTAGACTGCCTTCTTATTATGGAATTTAAATTATAGATCTATGTGTGGTACTTACGTCTTCCTTTAGTTCAACTATGCCTTATTTGTAAAATGTTAGGTACATTAATAAAACAAAAAGCAGTTGACTTTTCATAGCTTCTGTTAATGCTTTTATTCAATCCTATTCTCCAATTTGTTCTGGGTGCATTCCTTGCCATTAACTACAAAAAAGATAACACCCAATGGAGTGGTATTGTATGTCCTTCTGCACGCTCTGTTTTCAAAACCATTAACTTCCTGAACACAGTCCCTCTTGAGAACCCAACAGCTATCCAGCTAGTTAAGAAATTCCTTGCCTTTTATGGAACCCACAGCTTCATTACCATGTTCACATAAGCAAGCCACTGGTCTCTATCCTGAGGCAGATGAATTTAGTCCATACCTCATATGCAATTTCTTGAAGATCCATTTTAATATTGTCCTCCCACCATGTCTAGGTCTCCCAAGTGATTTCTTCCCTTCAGGTTTTCAGATTAAAATTTTGAAGGCATTTCTCATTTCCTCCAGACTGCACGCCCTGCCCTGCTCAACATAAAATACATGGAAATCTTTCAGTAATAATGAGTAAACACCAAGCAGTTTGGTCTGGCAGAAATGCTTGAAGCTTATATTCAAATACCCAGTTTGAGTTTTGCTACAGTTATTGGTTATTCTGGTGCTAGAAAGTGTTATTAACACACATCAATCAAAAGCTAAAGTATACTCCCTGTTTTAAGCACTTTCAACTGCAGTAATGTAATCTTTCTTGTACATGCAAACTCCAATTAATGTCAGGAATGTGTTCCCAAAAACAATGCACTTTTAAAAGATGAAAACAACAACAAGCTTTCACTGCACTTATAACTTAAAACAATGTTCTATTACACAGAAATGGCATTAAACAAAATGTAATATCGTGTTAATGAAATTACATCAAAATAACACAGTGTGTGCTATTAGTTAACTAGGTACTTAGCTCCAGTCCTAAGCTTACAGAAACAAAGGTACTGGATGGAAGCAAATGTGGTTGGTGCTACTACTGGTGATGACAGAAGTCATGTGGGGTAGATTTCTTGTTACTGCATCTTCAAATATACTGTATCAGCACCTGATGATGATGATGATGAATATGAGGCTTTGGTAGAATGATTAGAAATGAAAAATTGAAGTATTCTGAGAAAAACTTACCTCGGTGCCAGTATGCACACCCTAATCACACATTAATCACTCTAGGAGTGAACATGGGCCCCTCTGCAGTGAGAAGTCACCAACAAACCACCTGCGCTATTATGTGACCAAGTACGGGTCATAATCAGCTGTCAGCAGTGAAACAGCAGATATTCAAAATGCACATCATCATCTCCCACCTGCAGACTTAAACTAGGCACATTAAAAAATGAGAGATGAATGGAAAGATTAAGATGTACCAATAACATCTAAAATAATAAAATCATGACAACAGAAATGTGGGAAAACATGGAATAAAAGACTTAAATTTTGCAACTATTCATGTTTATGTATGCATGTGAATTGTCAATGTTTTATAAAATATGATTCCAAAACAGTGTACAGAATATATAAAATAAAATGATACACATTCACTTGTGTTAAAATTAGTTGAGTAATTACTTAAAATGAAATACAAATCACAATCATGGGAAATTTTTCTGAAGAATCTAACAACAATCTTGAAGCTATCACATTTGCATAGCAGTATATATATTAAGACCAATTAACAGTGCTTTAAAACCACATGTACAAAGCCCAAGAAACTGGTTGAAATTTCAAGCACTTCTTACCATGACCACAGTTTTGCTCCATATTGTAAGAATGTATGATCACAACCAAGAAAACAAGACAAACTACTTCTTGATTGGGTTTTCATAAACCAAGCTGAGAGTCATTAAACACACAAAAAGTGAGTGCTTTCTAACTGCTACAGTTCAGCTTTTCAAAGATGGTTTGTTGGAACAACAAAATTATAATGAGGTCTGTTCATCTGTATGAGGTAAACAACTGTCTAAAGTCATAAAACTATAAAACAAATCCCTGTATTTCCACTTTTGGACATACTATTGCTGCAATGGGGTTAGCAGGTTCTGGAGTGACAGAATACAAGCAGAAAACAAAAAATATCCACTCACATTACTGGCAGAAACTCAATGATATCTGCAATATCAACAAGAGTGGACAAAGTTCTGATTCTGTACACAAAGCCACAGCAATTCAGACGAAAACTATGGATGGATTTCTATGATACTTTATAGCATAAGCAACTGAATGTAACTTGATAAGTACTTTTATTGCATTAGGCTACAATTACAACAATTTAGGAACATGTACAAGATTATTTGCAACTGTCCCTGCTAAAATAGCCACAATACTAGTTACATTTTTTTGTGGTCCATTTGAATGGATGTAAGGATGTCTGTTGAAGATGTAATTGTGGCAGGTATTTCTTGTGTAACACTTCTCCATTCACCAAATATACCCCTGCCTAGAGGTACACCTTCACCATCTAATAGCCCCTGGTACCTGTAACTACTGGATAGCTAGAGAATACCCAGCTTTAACAACTGAAATAACCTTCCCAGGTTGTGAGGGAATTGGTCTTTCACTCAAATATACTGAGTTCTGTCGAGTGCAATGCTCTGTATGCACACCTTTCATTTAAAGCTTTCTCTAATGTGCAAAATCTCAACTTGTTTCCTGACCTTATACATGCAGCTTAAATGCAGTTCTTTACCTTGCAGATTTAACAGTCCGCACTATATGCTAAATCTGTAATTCTCATCTGTGTCACAGAACCCTGCATTTCTAAGTGGTTGCACACATTTTCATTACATGTACAAAGTGTAAAGTGTATTTTATTAAAATTATACACTCACAACCCATTTCTGCCCATGAGTAATAAATTTACTGTCTGTTAATACCAAAAAATCCACAGCCTATCCACCCACAGTGAACAAGAATTGGTACATACACAAATCTAAATTACAGTCTCTTAAATAAGCAGTTCCTTTACTGCAGATGAACAAAACATGTCATCTGCTAGACTAGAACTATGTTTGAAAAATTTAATTGGATAATGCTTTCAGTTATTACCTATTCATTAACTTTCTTGGCCTCCGCCTTATCTCAGAAACAGTAAAATCATCCATTTCCGAGTTGGCAGCACCAGTTGACTCCCTTAACCTTCCACTAACCCAAATAGTAGGATGATGAGGATGACAGCTCAGAGAGCAGACATACAGCTTAATGTGGGATCCACACTACAGTTGGGCATGATATTCCTCATATTCACGTGTTGACTTAGAGATCAACTCCACTAAATTTGGCCCAGTGTTGAACACAAGTTTGGAATAGAAGTCTAACATCTTTCCATTGTATCACTAGGTACCAATATAAAGAATACTAAGATGCACTTTCATACACTGTTCTTAAAGTGACTAATGAATCCCTGCACATAATTCCTTCATTTTATTTTTCACCAAACACTGAGCTCAATCACTCCTATTTCGTATTTGGAAGATCCAAAATTTCAACTTCGAGACTATCTTGACTTTCTCTGTAGCTTCCCTCAGCCCCTCCAGGCATATGCTGATACAGAATTTTAAAAATTGGCAACAACCACCTACTTTTGCATTTATCTAATTCATTATTTACTAAAATTTCACCTTATAACACAACAAATGCAGTCAAAGAAGTACGGTTAAATAAATCAAGAATCAATGTCATACATCTCATGACATGAAGCTTAACTCTCAAGCACTTAGGTTATCCAGGCATGTAACTTTGAAATCTTATTCCTAAGACACCTATATGGTGACAGCTACTCAGCCACATTTCAACAAAAAAATAGTACTATTTTTATGATTCTACCAGTCACCACTGAAGAGTAGAGTAATTATTATCGAGAGTGGAATGCGTTAACATATGACCATATCCGAACAGCAAAATGGTGCTTGCAGGACAAGTAAAGACTCACATTAAGTTACGAGTTAAGTTAACAATCATTTTCTAAAACATAAAAACTTCTGAAATTACTTTGAAACTTCCTAAAACGAAGTCTGCTTAATACAGGAATGAGTATGCTGCAACTAACACAAAAGTCAGAGTGTTCAATGCAAGTTCAAATCTGTGGAACAAGCAGCCACAACTAAACACAGCTGTAACACAAGTGTTATCAATTGCAAGATTTATATGCTCCGTTAAACAAGTAAAAAATCAATATATTTTTAAGTCCTCACACTTGCTGTACTCTATGAAGGTTTTGTGGTAAATGGGCGATGTATGTTAAAGACAAGATAAAATATTTTACATGAATGAACGAAGACATTTCAAGCCAACATTTTGGCAATGAATTTGCCAATAGGTGCAGACCTGCTATCAGAAATATCTGATGTGGGGCATTGTTATCATTTGTTTCTATAGTATAAGACAGTTTCACACTATTCATATATCAACAGAGGATGGTTTAAGTAACATGCAGGAAAAACTAATTGAAATAACAATATTTAAAGATTTATGTTTTATTATATCAAACAGTGTGACTTGTCAGAGGCAAGATGGCAGCCTGCTGCAGTCTTTAGTGTCTCATGAACGAAAAGAAATAAGCATAATACAACAAAACCTTGACTAAAGTTACATCTGCTTAAAACAGAAAATGTCTTTAATCTCATAAATCTAGAATGGAAACCAACGTAAAGTTATCTCTGATAAACAAACTTTTCAACACAAAATTCAAAAGAAAAAACAAAAGAATTAACATAAAATTTATGGCTTTCTGTTCATATTACTTTGTTACAAACTATGCTTCATGGAATTTATCTCTGAAGAAACATACCTGTTCAAAAAGGAAAGAAATGAGCAACAACTGTGAACTAAATATGTGCACAACAATTAAATAGCCTACAGGAAAAGATAGCAAAGTAAAGAAATCAAGATAGAAGGAACAAAAGAAATATAAAGTGAAATATGAAAATGCATCCTGCTCAATAAAAATGTAAATATATATAGCATGAATTTTTGGCTTGTGATGTGGGTGATAAATACCTATATGGTTATGTACTGTATAAGAGAGTTAAGTCCCTATGATGTATACAGCCTAGGAATCATGTGCTGCACTACCAGCAGACCAAAAAAAGTCATGCATGTTCTAATTTGATGTAAATCTTACTGATAATACTTTATAATACTGAAAGTTATAAAACAGTGAATAATAACAAAACAAATAAATAATAATACTACAAACAGCAGAAAGCAACAAGATAAATGTTCTCCACTCAGGAATACGGGGGTTACGCATGCATACATCACTTGCCTATTGGGCTGCCTACAACACAAGCATTTACTTAACTCTCATATACAGTACTAGACAGCAGCACATATAACAAACAGTAGCATCAGAAAACATACAAGTTGGAAACATGGTAAAATGCATTAATTTGGATCCAACACACAAGGCTTCACAAGCAACATGAGCTAACAGGATAAAACAATTTTTTAAAAAAAAGTGATTACCATGTATAAACAAACTATGTAGTCAAAATCTGAAAGTACATTTATTTACTGCACAAGTATCAACTTATATACCTGATGAGTCATTATAATATTCCTCAAAATATGAAAAATATCCAACCTGATATGCAACTCATTTTTTTCGGAAAATGCCAGGAATGTTGGGTAGATTGGCTGGCCGGTTCACTGCATGTTTATTCTGAAACATTTTGGATACTCGCTGTTTCACATCTTCAACACTGACAGTCGCCATTGCAAGGCTTATACTGCCAGATCTGAAAGTAAATTAAACATCAAATGTAAATATAAAGTTGTTCTTGTTTTATTTAAATGATACATTTTCAACTTATTAACATATATAGCATCAAATATTAAATTATAGGATTATTATAAATGAGAGAAGGCAGAGCTAGCACTTGCCTGAAGAAATTTTAAAAAAAGCCATAAAAACTTACATCAGGGTAGTCAGCCTGAGGCAAAGATTGGGGGTTACTAAATATGAAACAGTGTTAACCAATACATATGTTAGCTTGAAAGTAACTGAAGAACTTCATATATTTCAGACTTCTAACATAAAGAATTAAATTAAAAGCTACAATGACCAATTCTTAGGTTATTTATGTTTTTATTTTTATTTTTTCCCCCTCTCTGTAGATCTTACAGTGGTAAATAGTCTGATAACTGTCAATTGGAAAGGAAGTGGAAGGATACAGTCATGGTATATTTTAAGGTCCTATCCTGCCATTTAAATGGAGGGACTGAGAAAAGTTATGAAATACCTCAGCCAGGTTAGGCAGTCTCCAAGCCAAAATTTGAATCAGGACTTCATAAATACTTGGCAGGGGTGTTAACCGCACAACTGCCACTTTCAGTGCTATAATAAGTTTAACAGATGACCATCAACTTATTCCTTAAAAGTGTGACAGGTAAGGAATATACTCGCATGTTATTATGATACTTCATTTCAAGTAAGTCATACCAAACACATTTTAGCCTTCTGCCTTGTCAAAGTGTAGTTCACATTATCTCCCACAACTTCCTGATCAGAAATCCAAATTAACAATAACATCTCCACTTTCAGCAAAACATTTTTCTCTGGTTCTAAAAAATTTAACTGTCAGACATTGCTAATTTTGCAACATTTTATGTTTTTGTTCATCAGTTATATCTTCACTGTTGTGGGCAGTATTCCATGTTCATCCTTGATATCAAATGTTCACTCAACCAGCTTCAAAATCAATAATGTTAACATTTTTCAAAATGGGGACTACTCTTCACCGCTTAGCATTATCATTTGACTTTGCAGACAGGGGCAGAAAGTTTGTCACAAAATAAAGTAAATGAAATACAAAATCAGCAGAGAACTGGCATCAGAACCTCTCACCAGGAATCACAGATGACCCAAAAGATGTTGAAAGATAAGAAAGGAGATCTGTCAGATGTGACATACACAACATGAATGGCAAGTGGCAACATGAAAACAGATATAAGAACCAGTGATGAATACAGGAATAATGATGTAGTGAGTAGGACATCTGGGTAATAGGCAGAGAAGAAATTACAAGACAAGAAGTTGCATGATGTGTGTTCTTCACTGAACATTCTTAGGATGATTAAATCAAAACTTAAATTAAATTAAATCTGTGGCGAAACAGCTCCAGAGAGCCAAAGCCGACTAGCTTGACTGCTGGCCTCACGTTCACATGCCTAAGCAGAGGTGAACGATCATCCAACCAGATATAGGGTGACGTGTATTCAGCATGACGAACCCCCAGCCATTGCTAGCTTTCCTGACCGGATTACGCTACCCATTGTAGCTCCCCAATTTCCTCACGATGCTGGGTTGGCACCGGTCCCATACACTGGTCGAAAGCTCATGAGAAAATTTCTTCTCCCCCGAGACTCGAACCAGCGAGCATTCCGAAAATCAAAACTTGCAAAAGTATAATAATTCATGTAAGTTTTCAAAAAATCTGTATGTACCACTCCCCACATTGCAGCATCTTATGTCACTTCAAGTGGAACATATATACAGTACCTCTCAGGAGATCGCTGCACTTCAATGCGAGATTCTGCTCCTTTTATCATGGCCTGGACTGTATTGTGGTAAGATGGTAATGACTGACTGCTGATTGACTCCACATATCTATCACAAACCATGTCATGTTTCAACATACAGGAACAGAATGTAAAGCAGGAAGAGCTATCTATATACACCATTTCAAAGTCATGTATTTAACATGAAACATTTTCAGTGTTCAGAGCATGTCTGAAATGGTATGGTTTCAAATACCATATTTGTAACAGTGATTTAGTATGGACATGGGGGTGTTTTCTTTAGATACTCACCATTACCTGGACCAAAAATATGTAGCCTACAAGATTTTAAATGGTAGCTTTAACTCTGTCCTGAACCAGAAGAAAAGATTACCTCCTCTGTGTGGTGAGAGAGAACTAATATAGATAAATCATACCTGAGACCAGGAAGTAATGCAGTGCTGATGGTCTGCTTGGATATTGTGCAGTATATAGCAGCAGAGAAAGCTTCAACAAGAGCAACTGCCAAGTCCAATTTTCGTGTTTGATTGGACATCTGCATGGCATATGCTGCTATTGCTGCTAGCTGAGGCAAAATTACTGAAAAAAGTTGATAATGAACATAACTTTACAGACACAATTTATTAACAAAATATAAAGGATACAGAAAGTTGGAATTATGTACTTTTGAGTTCTAAATGATTAAAGTACACAACCCTTTTAAAATGTTATAGTTGCTCAATACACCACTCTTTAACATAAACAGTTTTGAATTAAAAACTTTTCCTTTTATTGTGAACAGTTTGAGCAATAAAGAGCATGATAATAGGTGGCTCTGCTTTGCTCAGTCAAGCAGACATGATTCAAAATCTGTTACTTTGTTGTGTGAATTGTATCCATGCAATAATTTTCTAAATCTATCCATACACTTCTTCTACCTCTCAAAAACAGCTTGAACTATGCTACTTCATATTTTGGCCAATATGTTTTACATAATACATATTTATAGCTACCATCCACTTTCATCAACCCATTAATTGTACAATGGCATCCATCAAACACATGCAATTGATTTGAAAAGAAGTTTGAAATCCACCAAGGAAACAGATTTGGAGAGTAACAGTGACTGTAATAATAAAGAAGTGATGAAACAACCACTGAAAATGCTCAATACTGGTATAGTCTCCACAGCACTTACTAATGTAGCAGTATACTGCAAATTTTGAACTTACCTTCTTCTCTGAACCATGCCTCACAAGCAGAAATGATGCGCCCCATGGTGGATACCAACTGCAGGAGCATGGAGTGATTTTCACGTGTCACTGGGTCAGACAGGAAACTCTGGATTTGCATGTATGTTTTGCTTTGGACCTTGCATTAACAAACAAGTTTTATGAAATATATCACAAATGTACTCCACAAATAAATAAAGAACTAACTCCATGGTGCAAGAGCTTCCTACAAAAGTTGATAGCATTCAGTTGGTCAAGGATTTTCCTTTTATAGAAGCTGAAGGTTCATAGCTATGTTCACAAAACATTGGACCCTACATGAGCCAGATGAGTCTAATTCTTTAAGCTCCATTCTAATGTTATCCTCCAATCCACACTTATGTCTCCCAAGCAGTCTCCTCCCTTGGGATCTTCCAATCAAAATTCTGTATGCATTTCCCATTTTCTTCACAAGTGCACTGTGTCTGCCCAACTAAATTAAAACTCTCTCTCCATTGCGTAACTCTTCCTATGCATGTATTACTTCATTCTTCTAAAGTAAATACATCCTCCTCAGCAATTGGAGATTTTTTTTGTGACTTACCAAGCACATTATGAAATAACACTGCAAGGACAGCTCCCTTTATTTGATCAAAAAGCACCATTTAAAAGAGCATGATCAACTTACTTCTTTCATTGCCGTATTAGTGATCAAAGTTCCAAAAGCTGGAATTGTTGCACTTCTCACAGATCTGTAAGTCAGAAAGTTTTTAATCAAAGAAGGGCATAAATGAACAAAACTGTGTACATTACATGACTCCCATGTTTGAGTCAGGATAACTCAGACAGTAAAGCAACTGTCTACAGGCTGAACTACCAGACCCCCTTCCAGACTGGGGTGTGGATTTTTCTATTCAATATCATAGACTTTCTCTGCATGTGGACAGAGCATGTAACCAGCAACTGACTTCCACAGAATGTCAAGGTTAAAAATATAGGCTTTATTTCCACATCTACTCTGGGAGTGGTGACTAGAAATAGAGACAACTTTACCTTTACCTATGAACCAACAAACTAACCAATCTGGAGTCTAACAATATTTTACCCTTCTAAATTTTATCTCAACATAATATGTAATTTCTCACAACTCTGGGTCACTAGCCAAGGTGACAAGTGCAGGAGCTACGCGGGATGCCACTAAAGCTTCTGACAAACTGTCCACTGTTGCCACAAACAGAGATGCTGCTGCACTGCGTACAACAGGTCGTGGATGCACTACACCCTCCCACAGAGCTGTCAGCACAGCATCCTGGTGAACTGGCTCCTTGCACAGACTGCGCACACTCATGTCCAGGCAGTCCAAGGGAGAACCACACAGTGGAAGCGCACAGAGGAATCGCTTCAACTGAGTACATAACTCTTCATTTGCCTCAGCATCCTGTAACAAAGGGCTCTGCTTAGGGTCCCAAAGGTTGTGCAATTGGTGACTTAATACAATCATATCTGGACAGACTGGTGTATCACTACATGCACAGCCAGTCACTTTACAGCAACACACATTCTTTAAACATAATGTACAATCTACCTGTAGATTTGGTTCAGTTTTCTGTACTCAGTCTAGCAATATCTGAGAAAGTTTTCTTCTGAAACATTCTCTTATGCAGAGATAAACCTGCTGTCTTAGCAGTCATGATGCGTAGAAGGGTAAAGGCAACAAGAGTATGATATAAAAATGTGGTGTCTCACCTGCACTGATGCCACAACTGCTATGAGATACACAGGTACTATAGATAAAGATGGCCAGCCAGCTCCCTGGCCAATGTCCGTCAGACACTGTTCAAGATTTTGAAGCCTTTCAGTAAACAGAGGTATCACCTGCAAAACATTAGATATCCTGAAGATGTCACTTGTGTGTCATTCAACAGATTAGGAAATGGACTATGAATACTAGAATGCTGTTTCTATTCTTAAGTAATAACACCATGTCATAATAGTCATAGTTCCAGGTCATAAGGCAGTATGGAATTCCATGCTCTGATTGGTAGATGCATGTCCAACAGGAAGACATACTGGAATATAGGTCCCTTTTTAGAGCACTGAATTTTCTTCCTTTTCTGTTTTTCACCATCCATCAGAAGAAAATAGAAATTCCCACCTCCTTATGGCCTGCAACTATAAATATCAGCTACAGGCCACTGTTTGGTCACTTCATCTTAAAGAATGAGGCAGCCAAGTCTTCAAAATATTGTCAAACTAGCCCACCATAACAAAATATCACCACCTTCTTACTGCCAGCCCCAGTGCTGCAAGCAGGGATCAACAAATGATGGCTCAGTGTACCAATCACACAAAAATTCTACTCACCAGACTTTAACCTTTACGGTACAGTAATAGGGAATTTAAACACCTGTACTAAGGGGCTGCTAACGAGAATCAACACTGGGATAATGTTTTAGTATAATGACATATGACGCACAACCAGTTAGTTCTTGAGTTAAGTAGTGACACATGGACAATAAAGATTAACAAAGGCCCTCATAAACTCATCAATTACAAATTTACCATCTGTCTTCTGCAGAGAAATGAAAAAGGAGAGTAAGAAAGAATATTAGCAAAAACACCAAAAATGTTTCACTTGTCAGCCTACACTTTCATTCAACACAGATACATACAAACATATATCGTTATTACATTCCATGGATCCATAAGATAGTCAGATGACAATAGGATGTGGAAAAAGTCATAATAATAATCATACAATACATATTATAAAGTACAATTCATACTATTATATAAATTCCACATAATACAAACAAAGGGCTCACTTAAAGTAATAAGTTACAAATACATCTACCCATTACACACAGAAGATAAATTATTACTTATTTGTAAACAATAAAAATTCATCAACAGAGTAAAAGTAGTGTGTAATTAAGTATCTTTAATACTACATTAAATTGCTAAGCAAAAACTTCCAGGTTATGTTGTAAAAATTCAGTAGCACAAGAGAGACACTTGTTTGTAACCTTAAAAAAGTGCTGAAAATGAGATACTGTACATGGTTATGTCAATCCTTATGAATTGCATGTGACAAACAAGCAGAATCAGAGCATCAAGTGATACAGGTCATGACAGGACTCGCTGGCAGAGATGGGAATAATAAATATATAATTAAGATAGAGTACCTTTTGTCTTGTGAAAGACTTCCCAAATCCAGAGCACAAAGTTCTGAATAATTTAATGAATGATGAAACTAAAAGTTCCTGAGAAAGTTCAACTCCTTTAAGAATATTGAGCAGATCTGGAAACCTGAAAAATAAATCAGCACATATAAACCAAGTGCCATTGTTACTAAACAAGTATCCAATATATACATCAAGGAAAAGAGTCCATATTTTTATCCACACAATTAACTTTCTCAATGAGGGATTGTATAAGTCATATGATAAAGTAACAAATCATTTCAAAATATTTAAATATGTAAGGACTGGGAATAACAGCAACAAATAAAAACGAGTTCTGATTGTGATCTTCTGGGTTATGACACCATGCATTCACACACCTTACTAAATTTTCACTGCCATGAAAAACTCAGATCTCAAAAATGAAAGAGGCTCATTATGATATTATGAAAAGTACAAAGTCTGAAAACACTAACACTTAGGGCCCCCATACACACACAGTTTGGCCTTCTGATCGACCTTACAGGCAAAACTGTGACAGTTTGCCCTCTTCCTTTCCTTCCCCATACACACGCAGATAAACTGGCAGGCTGCATGCCACAGTCACAGTCTTCCAGCCTTCCAGATTTCTTAGCCATCAATACTTTCTTCCGTTCCTTTCTGAAACTGCTACGTAGGTTGTTGATCTTTTTCAACACTTTTTCCTTGTTGGCTTGGGGATCTATTGTTTTAACTTTTTCCGTCAGTGCTGAATAAGCACTCTCTTTCATCTCACGGTTGTGGTATTCCTTGCTCTTGACTTTCCAAATAGAAGGATGACCACGAAATTCTTCAATAAATTCGAGTACAAATTCCTTCGACCACGTTGCCTTAGCACAAACTACAAAATCACGGTACAAGTTGTGCAGGCCGAACGGGAGGCAAAACTGTGTGTGTATGGGGGCCCTTACCCCTAAAGGGAAAGAAGCAACTAGATAATATAGGATATCACATAACAAAGTACTTGTGATTTATACAAGTCACCTAGTAGCAAAATCAAGATTACAATTGACTGGGCATGTAACTTGGGCAGG